CAATGAAGGAAACAAACAGCAATAGGCAAGACAGGAAGTTCAGCGCACAGTGGTGATGGAATAGGCAGCACTTAGCACTAGACAGTGTACTTAAGAATACTTCTCCATGCTAAGGACAACTCCTGGAATGCAGCAGCCTCTTACTACTGTCCAATGAACATAACCAAACCTTCATAGAGTCATCCCAGAACCAAATTAAAAGAAAAAAAAAAAAAAAAACCTCAGCTTCTCAGAGGTCATCTAGAAATAGAATCTGTCCTGCCTTCAGCCATATGTTTTGAATCAGCCTGAGGATGCTACAAACCCCACCATCACAAAAACCCTACAAATCTGGTATATATTAGACATATTAATAAGAGTTATCACAGCATTTCACAGGGGTAAGACAAAAGATGGCTATTTCAATACCAACTTTGTTTTTTAAAGATTTTATTTAGTTTTATGTAGAAGAACTGGGGTGTCGTCCAAGGTGCAGGTGGTTGGAGGATTCACCAGAGACAGTAAGGAACAGAACAGGTGGACTTACTGAAATACACTGCTAAAGGGAGCACTTGGTGAAACAGGAAATGTCTGCTGCACCACATGTAGGTTAGCTCCCTGGCCCGCACAGAACTCAGGTCACAATGGTGATAGCACTGAGATTCAACTCCTAGGCCACCAGGGAGGCCCTCAATACCAAATTTTAATTAAATACGCTATCTGCTCATCCATTGCTAAAATAAAAGGAGAGGTCAGCTACTACGTTGTGGATAATCATTAAGTCAGTTTGATGGCAGGTATTTGGCTTATCATTTTGATTAGTAGCACTCATTAAAAACATCTTTTCTCTGTGTATTTCAGAAACTCAAGCAAATAAGGATGTTATTCTGCTTTACTGGAGGCAATCCCACATCCTGCCAGGTTTGGTTTTTATATGTGTCTGGCTTCCTAAAATAACCATAAATACCCTTATTTAAATCTATGCTATTTACTTCTACAGAGAAAAAAACCTCAAAACTTTTTACTGTTATAGGTTATCTTGTCTTTTTACACCTCTGCTGTGGCAAAGAAAGAAAAATACATGATATGAGGGCAAAAGGAAGACTGAGTTTAATTACAAAGATCTAAAAGTGGAAAATCTCACAGGGTAATTGTTTAGAAAAAGAACACTTTCTTCCTTTCCTCTCAAAACAAATCATTTATCTACCAAGTATAAGTACTGCATTCCTCCTTTTTTTTAAAAAAAAAAAGTAGTATCCTTTACTGAAAACACCGGGAGTCTTAGATTTTAATCTCATAATCTGAAAATCTTCCTAACATATGAGTCTGAGCTACTACTATTCAAAGCCACTATAGGAACTAAAATGCTCTATTCAAGAACATTTTCTCAAATGTAAACTCTACAATGAAATAATACTTTTGACAGAACATTTGTGAGTTACAACCAATTCTTTCAAATCTGTTTTTGAGGATAAAACTTTTAAGGAATGCAACAAGGGTGAACAAAGTTATACTATTCATTTACCATGTTAAATGATCTAGTGTACATTACTTCAAAGCAGAGACTTACAATGCATAATCAACAGAGTGATGCATCAGTGAAAATGATTAAATACGCCAAGATCTTAATTATACTACTACTTTACATTTGTATAGAACATTCCATTTTGCAAAGCATTTACAGCCATAAACTCATTTGACTTTCTTATGTCCTTCAATTTAAGTTCAACAGATATAAGACATGAGTCCATCTGGGTAAAAGAAGCAATGCAGTTAAGTGGTTAAGGGTATGGAAGCTGGAGCCAACTGCTTGGATTAAAATCCTAGCACTGCCCCTTACTAGTTAAGTGCCTCATCATCTACAAAATTTACATTATAGTCATTTCTACTTCATGCCTACTGAATTTAAAATCAATTAATATATGTCAAGCACTCAGAACAGAGTTTAGCACATAGAAATCATTATATATTTTACACAGTGGTTGTATTTATCAGGAGCATCATTGTATGGATCAGGACACAAGCTAGTAAGTTAAAGAGTCAGAAGGCTGGGTTTTGCTACCTTTTTTAAAGCACCCTAATGTTTTCTAGATTGATGTAAAGAATTAAATGCCTCCCCCACCTCCCCACCTTGGAGTGTGCCTGGTGCCCAGAGCTTCTGGGCACATGAGGTGACAGGGACAGAGAATACACACCAATGACTTTTAGTTTCCCCTTCTGCTTTGGGATGGCAAAGCAAATGTGTGTTTTCCTAAAGCAGGTAGAGCCAATACTGTTTTGTATTTGTGCCTGGTTCAGAGCTGTCAAAAGTATGATGATGGACATCTTTGATATGTTGTTATTTTAGTAAACATTTTTTGCCCTTTCAAAGAAAAAGAATTCAATGTCAAATTGTAAAAATAAAAAAAATCAGCAGTTCAAAATATTTATCAAGTTCATTTATATATTTTTATATTAAATTGATTATAAATAACAAAAACTCTTACTTTTCAAAAAATAGATCAAAGAATAAACAATTTTATCCTATCACATCATGTCAGCATGATCATTAATATAATTTCTTTGTCAAATAAAAGTATCCGGAAGGAAATACAGAAAAATGATTAATGACTGTTTTTAAAACATTTAGTATTGTAACACCTGTAATTTAAAAAATGATTTCCAAAACAAGTTTATAAAGAATTGAAAACAGATTGATAGAACACTTAGAAATTCTGGGAAATAACAGATGTCCAGACGAAAACCTGCCCTCTTTTTTCCAACTGTTTTAGGTATCTTTCCTCAGACTTTGTTCAAACTTTTTCTCCTTTAGTGATTTAGGTGACTGTGATAACATCATTCACTGTATCTAAAAATAGAGAATTGGTGCGTAAATTTATGAGCTGACATACAAAACTGTCAGTGGATGTCTAGAGTATTAAATCATTTAGTAAATTCTACTATAAAAATATATTTAAAGCTGATATTCACATGCTCTGCACATACATATGATTTTACTTCAACCATCTTTATAATCTTTTCATGTGAGCGCAGTCAGTGTTTCTCACCAGTGTTTCTACTCCAGTCCAACTGAGGATTCCACATTTTTGCATTTATAGCTGTGGGGACAGTCTGAAAATACTCCACAAGTGATTCTGACACACCACAAGCTGTCCCCTGCCCTGCCCTCCACTCAATCCTGCAATTTTCTGAGGTTCTGCACAGTTCTAAAGTCTGCCACTTTAGGTTGAGCAAAATCATAACCGAATGACTTATATCTATCAGAGTTACTTTAATAAACTTAAAAAGAAAGGCCAAGAGTTAACATGTACGTTCATTTCTTGAAACATGCAAGAGTCAAATTAGTATTTTTATCTTGATGATGTCAAAAAGGGCTTCAGATATAAATATGAACAAAATACATTGGTTCAGCATGGTGATTAACAACTGCCCAATATGGTATTTACAGGTAGTGCCCATTTTCTTTGGAAAGTTTCTTTCTGAGGACAAATTATCCACTATTTAAAAGTCACTGTAAGTGCAAAGACTCACAACTAGGAAATGAAATAGAATTTTATAACTTTATGGAAAAATGTGTGTAATTAACTCAAATGTGAGACAATATCATATCACAATTAGTAAGTATACAAAGCATGGCAAAGATGCTGACTAGGGCTTCAAAATTAGGATTATTTTTTAAAAAAATGTATAATAGTATTATCTTAAAATCAGAAAACATAAGTCAACAAATACTGATTGTTACATATTTCATACTAAGGGGTCCCTTCCTCAGGTGGCACAAAAAAGAACCGTGATCCACAGTTTTAGTATATGAAACCAAAACCAAAACCTGGGCTGTCTGAGAAAGCTGCTGTCCTCTGTACCAGAAGATGCCACAGAGGTGACTGAGATACAATGTATACATGTCTCTGCTGTATCCATTCACTAGTGGAAAAAGTTGATAAAAAAATTTTGGTGTGAATCCATTTATTTAGAAAACATGCTGTCCGTTGTTGGCTTAACTTGCTAAATGCATTTTCCATTTAAAAAACAAATTCCATGTTTCCAACAGGAACTAGAACTACAAACCTAAAACCTGTGTCAGTAGACTGACCAAAAACCCATCAAGGAATCAAAGTGAAGTGGAAGCCCCCAACCCTAGTATTGTAAGATGTTCACATGTGCAAGAGTAGCTATCTATAAATATGCCAGAAGACAATTCCTTACAGAGTTGGGATATGTATTTGGAGAATGAATATATACCTTTCTTCCTCGTTCTAAACCCATGTGTCAAAGCATCAAACAATTTTATTTATGGCCGTTTCTGTTGTGTCTCAAACTTTACATATAAGTTTATCATGGAGGGGGGGGCTGCCTGGCTTGACTCACCATGAATCACAGCCAGGAGGTCATCTTGTGTATCAAGCAACTATGTTTTCACTACAGCTATGTGACCTGAAGTGGCAGCAGCAGCAGAGGCACCAAAATAGAAGGGGCAGGAGGCTTCTCGGCCCCAACTAAGCCAGCTCCAACGACAGAGAGAAAGAACAAACCCAACAGCTCCGGAGGAGAAAAAGGCTGCAGGCCCACCACACCTTGCTTTCCCTCCTCGGGAACACCGCGAAGCAAGACTATAAAAGAGGACGGGATTCAGAAATGTGGGGAGAAAACACGGCATGACAGGGCCAAAAACTAGCTCGGTGTGAAGGCAAAAATCCAGCCGTGACCATGTAGTAGAGATTTCGAGCAGGTCTGGAGACGGAGGAGGGTCTCCACCCGGGGACTCGGGGCGTAGCTCCGGCGCGAGCGTGCAGCGGCGCCCCGGTCTCCAAGCACCTCTGCCCACCCGGGATGGATGCCCGCTCCCACCTCACCTGTCCGGTGCCCGCTGGCCAGGCCGTCGCCCCCGCCCCCGGCCCCCGCCCCGGCCCACCCGCGCATCCCCTGCCCTCCCGCCGCGTCTCCAGGGACCACCGCCCGGTTCGGCGCGGGCAGGGGGCCGACACCCGCCCCGCCTCCCCAGGCCTGGCCCCGGCACTCACTTTCTGAATCCGCTTCAGCGCCATGGGTCAGGGAGGGCGGCGGGGGACACCGGCCGGCGGGGGGCGGCTGAGGGGCTCGGGGACTTGGGGTCCTGGCGGGCTTGCTTCGCTGGCTGCTCGGCTCGCTCAGCCCGGTGGGTCCCCGGCTCGCCGCTCGCTGGCTCGCTCCGGGCGCTGGTGCCTGCTCCGTGTGCGCCCGAGCGCGGGTGTGCGCGAGTGTGCGGACGGGGACGCCGGCGAGACTCTTTTGTTTCCGCTTTTGCTTCTGGGAAGGAGCCTGCGCCCTCCCCGCCCGCGCCCCGCCCCGCCTGGCACACTGGGAAGTGTAGTTCCAGCCCGCTCCGAAGCCGCCCGCCCCCGGCAAGGTCGACTTGTTCACCGTTGACCTCAAGCTGGCAGCTTGAGTTTAGAGCTGCCGGGGTCTCCTGGAGTTGATGTCTGCATTGGATTTTGAGCAAGTGACTGAAACTGGAGTTCCCAGTCTGTAAAATGGGGCCAACCAATGAGCTCATGAGGTTCCTGGAGGGATTGCTCAATTTTCACAATCACTCCTTGTCTAATATGGAATATGGCTGATCTTGTTATTTTCGCCTTTTCAGATTTCTCTTTTATTAGATGAATTGCCTCAATTTTTCACACACGCAAAAACTCATGCCAAATATGATTCCTTAGATAACTTTTTAATTCCTATGTCGAAAGGTTCCTCCTCCAGCCAATCCTAATCCCATAGATCTGCACCTCCTCGAAATCCGGACGGCACATTCCGAGTTTTACCCTCAGCATTGACCTCTTCCTTTGGTTGATTGTACAAGGTCAATAGAGTCTACTCAAAATCCTCATTCCCTCAGTTCCTACTAACTTGTTGCTAATTAAAACTTGGCTTCTGCTTTCGGCACAAGCAGAAAAGGTTTTAGCTAAGGTCAACTTGAGCTTCTAATCACCTAATTCAATTCACTCCTTATCCTCTGTGTTGTTTTTTAATCAATTGGTTGGCAACCAGCCCTTTGCTTTTTTACTTTTCAGAAATGCTCACCACCTCTGACTCATACAGCTCATTGGTATTTCCAGCTTCTACTTCTCTGACTTTTTTTTTCCTGTGTCACTAGTTCCTCTTCCCTAACGTTGGAGTGCTCCAGACTTCAAAGCCTTGATCTTTCACCATCAACATCTTTCAAGAAGCTCAATCTCATGCCCTGTGAGGGAGCATGCCCTGTGAGGGAAGCTGCCCAGCTGCATTGGAGGATCATGGGTTTTGTAGATTGACAACGATCCTGAGATAGAGTCCCAGCTCTGACCCCTACCCACTATGTGACTTTGCTAAGCCAGTTAAACTCTCTCTTTTTCCTCATCTGTCAGCGCAGATAATTTATGTATGAGTTATTGTAAAACAGCTGATATTAGTATCCATTAATTATGTAATGTATTGCATTGATTGCATATTAATTTTATCATTTTAAAATTTTCTCTAGTATGTTATTAATGTAGTTGTTATATTCATTTTTATAATTTGCCAAACAGGCCATTCTTGTTCCTATCCTGTCCAGGACTGTCTTACAGCATAAAAGCCCTCTTCATCCACTTATGCTCCAACATCTGCATTAAGTTACCTTCCCCCAACATGAACAATTTAGTTTCCCTACTGCCTTTAGGATCTGGCATCCCATGTGGGGATGCTCCCTTATGTGTATGTCATCCTCTGTAGACTTGGCTCTGCTATACCACATGAGGCAGCACTGCCATGAGGACACTTTCCTCACTCCACTTGCTTTCTGACACTGGGAGCTGATTTCCTCTTGTATGAACATCCTCTTTCCTGGCCCTGCGCCACCCCCTTACACAGAAATGCTTCCACACAGCTTGGCATCTGACCGTCATGTGGACATCCTCACCATTAAGCACAATCTCTGATACCACACTCTAGGATGCCTCTCCATCCCATGTAGGCTCTGACAAATCACCCTCCTGCATTAATGCCCTCTTACTCCCCTTGGGTCTGACATCCTGTGCTGGACTGTCTGGTACATACTCTCCTAACTCCATTTGAATTCCAATAGCCCTGTTTGAGATACTTTCTAGGAGGATGACTTCCACATTCCTCTTGGACCCTTCTACCTTGCACCAGGTAACATTCTTTCGAAGGCACTCTATTACTTTTCTACTCAATCATAGTGACTTAAGCCAAAATCTATTTATTATCTTATGATTTCTATAGGTTGGAATCCAGGCATGGAAGAGATGACTTATCTACCCAGGGTCTCACAAAGCTGTTAAATTACCAGGAATTGGAGTCTTAGGGGATGCAGAAGGTTAGTATCTGCCCGCCCCCAAAAAAGTGTGCCCACCTAGTAGCTCAGAAAAGTGACTTTATTTGGAAATAAGTTCTTTGCAGATGTAATTTCATTAATGAATGAAATATAAACCAAAGGATTTAGATTATTTATTTACTTAAATGAATGCAGGCATTTATATTTTTCTGTTTGAAATGTTGTGCTAGGTGTGGAAACAATCTGAGCTGTGTAAAAGGAGGAGTGTGGGGTAGACAGAGCCAGTCAGGGCAAGGTATTTGAAAACTAGGAGATTTTTTTAAGAATCCAGATTTTTTTTTAAAGATTTATTTATTTATTTGTTTGTTTGTTTGTTTATTTATTTATTTATGCATACACGAACTGGGGTACAGGCCAGAGGTGAGGGCGATGAGAGAATCACCAGAGACAAGTGGGGAACAGAACAGGTGGATCTACTGAAATACATGGCTGAGGGGAGCAGCAAGAGAGACAGGAGAGGTCTATGGCACCATGTGGGGATCTCCCTGTCCATCACAATCACTTAGGGATCTTATTAAACTGTGAATTCTGATGCTGCATGCCTGTAGTAGGACTTGAGATTCTGATGTTTCTTGTACATAGACCACATACTGAGTAGCAAAGATCCATAGCAGTGGTTCTCAAGGTATGGTCCTAGATATGCATCACCAGGGACCTTGTTAGAATTGTAACTTCTTGGTTCCCACTACAGACCAGGAGAGAAATGGAAACTTTGATACACATTAAAATTTGAGGACATGTTAAAGCTTGAAAACCACTGATTTAATAGTTTTAACTCAGTGATACACAAATTTTAATGTGTATCAAAGTTTCTATTTCTCTCCTGGTTGCAGTGGGAACCAAGAAGTTACAATTCTAACAAGGTCCCTGGTGATGCATATGCTGCTAGATCTAGGACCATACCTTGAGAACTGCTGCTACGGATATTTGCTACTCAGTATGTGGTCTATGTACTAGAAACATCAGAATTGCCTGAGAACTTGTTAGACACAAAGAATCTCAAGTCCTGCTGCAGGCATGCTGCATCAGAATTTGCAGTTTAATAAGATCCTTAAGTGATTATGATGACATTAGTTTGGGAAACACTGTGCTAGAAGCCACTGATTTACAAGAAGCATCTAAAAATGTAGATTTCTTTACAGAGTCTAATTTAGTAAGTCTTGGTTAGAGTTCTGGAGGCTATCCTTTTGATCTCAGGATATTCTGCTGTTTGAGCTGTCTGAAGGGTACACTTTTGTGTGTACGCATTTTTATGAAAATACACAAGAAGACAACAGTACTCTGCAGACAGCAGCCAGGGTGTAACACTGTCCTTCTGTCTTAACATGGACAGGCAGCGTTCTCTGTTCTGGAGGCTTTGTGAGAGTCCAAGCATCTCTAGGAGCCTGAGCACCTTTGGCAGCCTGCACATCTTTGAGTTTCTGTGCTGCAGTTACATCCTGAGCCTGTATTTGAGCCTTGGTTTTTGGCTGGGATAGCCTCAGACCCTTGACATGTGGACATGTGCTCATTTCTTAAGCTTGGGGTGAGCGATGTAGATGAGTGGACTGAACTTACAGCTGCTGTCCTTTGGGGTGCTAGGCTTCACTTCCTTGGGCATTACAAGGGGCTTGACAGCCTCAGCATGTGCACACATGGCTGTGGCATTGTTGACCTGCATCTTCTTCAGGTCCTTCTTGTTGTGTTTCTTAGCAAAATGCATGTTCCTTAGGAATTTGCGGTCCACCCCCTTAAGACATTCATAATTTTGTGACAGGGGTTTCTAGATGCCATTTCTGTGTCACTTTTGGGATTGGTTGTAAATGCTGTGGTTCTTGGACTTGGCTAAGTTTGCACCGAAGCCCACAGCTTCCCATGAAGGTTACACTTGGAGAGAATCTCCACCTCGGCCAAATCCTTAAATCTGTCTAAATTCCAATTTACTCATCTATAATAAATCAATAATATTTATCTATTTCAAGTGAATGAAGCTTTAACATTTGGTAACCTTCCAACTCTATCATTTGAAAAAAAAAAAAAAAGGTGATTATTCTGTTCCATATAAATAATAAGAAACCTAAAAAGAGAACTTACAAGGTTATTTTTGTCTTTCCCAAGCCAAATTTACTTCCCAACAGAAATAAACGCTTTAAAAAGATCTACTTTAGGGGAAAATCTACTTTAGTATAATTTACACCTTGGGATTGCTTTAAACTTTTAAAAACATTTCACATACAATTTAGCAACATGAAAAAACACATGAAATATATAATAGTTCAAAGTTTTTATTAGGTCTCTTACTCTTTCTCTTAGGTCATGTTTTAAAAATATGATTTGTAGTTAACTACATAATTAATTCAAGAATATTACTTAATGGTTATAGTATACCTAGTGCTGAAGACACATGATGACAGAAGAAATAAAATCCCTTCCCTCAAACAGTACTTTCAAAATTCTGTGGAATGGAGAGAAGAATGGAGGCTTATTATAAATGTCAATTTCTAGCCATCAGTCCACAGGTTGGTTGATTATGGCTTGAGGGCTCTCATAAGATTTTGTTCAAAATGTCAACCAGTGTTGCCATGACCTGAATGCTTGGCTGTAGATGGTGATGGTTCATCCAAAATGGCTCACCATGGGGCCTCCCTGGTGGCACAAGGGGTTAAGACACAAACTATGAAGCTTACCACAGCCGCTATAACAAGAGATGGATCCCCAGCCAGGGAGAAATCCACATGGCACAGCAGACCTCTCCTGGCTTGCCCACTGCTCCCTCAGCAGTGTATCTCAGTCACTCTGCCTGTTCTGCTCCCCACTCTGTCTATGGTGAATCCTCTCACCCCTCACACCTCTGGCCTGTACTCCCGTTCTTGTATGCATAAATAAATCTTTTTAAAAATTTTAAAAATTAAAAAATAA